TAAAAAATTCATTGAATACCATCCTTTTAAATTAATTTCTCTGAAATTGTAGTGTTTTAAATACAAAATGAAGGTGATATTTTACTGAAACTGTATATTAACTAGCAACTTTTAGGTTCTTTCTACAACTAGTAGATGAAGGGAGAGAACATTTCAGAAAAACAAAACAAAACAACAAATAAAGAGGGAATTGTGGAGCAAGAGCAAAAAATGAGGTGAAGGGATTAGGATAAAGAGATCAGGTGTGAGTCCATTTGCTGTGGGTTTTCCTGGCACCTGAACATTGCAATGAGGGTGAACAGCCTTTTCTGAACTCCATACCAACTCAGAGGTGAATGGTCTGACCTGCAGGGCCAGTTGCTTTCTTCTCCTTGGAAGAGACAGTGCAAGATGAACTCTGGGGATCACAGAGCAATAGAGATAATTTTGTGCTAAGCTATCCTATTTTTAGTGACAAAGCAGTATTAATCAGGTCTATTATTTGTATATTATTTATTTATTATATACCTAACATCTCACATATGTTCATGTACATAAATATAACTTTATGTATAGACAATGTGTATGTAAACAAGATTAATATAATCCTTGCCAGGAGAGTTGTTAATCAGTATGATTCCTTAAATGATTATGTGAACAGCAATCCTACTGTGCTGCAAAATGTGGTGGAAAGAAGAATCTAGACCACCTAAATCCATTGTCCTCAAAGCCATTCATTTAGGAACATGTAGCTGTTTTGCTGAGAAAGCACAAGAAACAGATTAGGGAGATGGTAGGTGGAAATAAGTTCCCTGTTTTGTATGCTAACTTTCCTTGTTTTCTCCTTAGGGGATACGGGATTGGCGTAAGGCTGATTGATGATTTTTTGGCTCGTTCAGCTGTGAAAAAGTGCCGCAGTTATTCTGAAACAGCAGACATGATTGCACAGGTAAATAGGATTTACATTCTCTAGAGCTTCATCAGCTTCAATGGTCTTAGCTTTTCCCTCCTCCTCTACCAGTTTGCTCCAGAACAGTTACCTACATTTTCTGCTATATCACAATTGTCTTCTCAAAATCTTATCTCCACAGTCACACCAACACTTCCATTGGGTGAAATACAGCCTGTTCCTTATCTACAACTTCGTATCAACTAATAGCCTACAGGCCTTGAGAGGAGACATCAATTTCTACCTCTGTAGCATAGTGCTACATCAGGCTGGGAAAAAAACAACACTCAATGGAACACAAAAAATTTGATGCTTAATCAGATAAGAATTTTGTAGATGGTCTTGATAAAACCATAGTGGTATGTTTACTACAAGGGTTCATCCGACCCACAGAATTGGTTCATGTGGGATTTAGTTTTGAATCTGAGTTGAGGATCGACAGCACACATGGGGTACCACCTGTGAAAGGCTGTCAACCCCTGACCTAAGCTGACCGTAAAGTGAGTTGTTAAGCTGAAATTGAAATTCCTCTATTCCTAGTAACCTATGAGGTATTTGCCATCAGAAGAATTAAAAAGTTTCTTTTTGTTTGCTGCAGCTTAGGCCAGTTTCTTCTACTCTTGCCAGAGAATGCAGCAAACCACTAAAAAAGATAAGTTTTTTTCATATATTCCATAACTTTTTTCTTTTTTCTAAGAGCATAGGCCTTACCCATCTCATACAAATCTTACACTTTTGCATTCTTACTCCTGCCTTCTGAATCACCTCAGTATCTCCAGAAACAGAGATTTTGCTATATATGGGTGTGATTTTGATTGTGAGCCTATGTACATGTCATATTTTTTTTCTTCCAATATAGATAGAAATGAGACAGATTTATGGATGCAACTTTCAAAATTGTGCATGGTTTTTACTGCTCTGTATTTTGGAGTCACAAAAAAAAATTCAAAAGACCTTCATTTTACCCTCTGAGAAGCTGTGTATGGAAGTTTAAAGGAATGTCTGTTCAGCCATAGCCTGGTTATAAAAATAATTTCACATCTATTAATTTAATTACTTGTCTACATACTTAAATAGTTTTTTTCTGTGGACATGTTTTTACAACTTTCACTTTACAGCTTTTCAATTTTGCCTTAGTTCAATGCTCCATTGCAAACCATCTACTGGTTTTGCATAGTTTCAGTGTAAGTTCTCTTTTACATAGAAAATTTTAACAGTAGAATTTGGACAGATTCATCAGACCATAATGCAAAGTACAGCTGAAAGAAAATTGAAAGCATAGGAAGGCCTAGCACAGGTAACTAGTTTTTGTTCTTGTAACAAAGACTCAAAGTCTGACAGAGCAGAAGATGTGTAGCAGAAGAAAAGTTAAGAGAATTTAAATGAGAAAATTGAATTCTCACAGAGGAGAAGAAATAGTAAACTCTGAGACAAAGCAGAACTAATTGAGTAGAAGTTTCCTGTTTATTTGTGCACTCATGTTGACGGAGAGTTGATGCAAAATGTAAATTTTCAAGAGAAAATATTTATTCTGCTGTTTGTTTGTGGGATTTTGTCCAGTTTGTTTTGGATAGTGTTGACCATAGCCTTTCCTTCTTCTGAGCTGCCGCACTTTAATTCAGGGACAATGTTGATACAAAACAGTTTTTGAAATACCTGCTTGAAGAACAGGGTTAACTTTGCCAAAATTTGAGTCCCATTGAAAACACAGGGTCAAACTGAGTTTAATTTTTGTCGGTTTTTATAGAAGTGTTCCAGCATCCATAAGGGAATTGCATTAAATCACAGGGTTTTTGGTAAGACAACACAGAGTAACAGCCCTGGGAATGAAAGTCAGTGAGAGGCTTAGGCTTAGACCAGACACGTGTTGCAGCACTGAGTGTTCAGCAGCTGTTCTTGGAGGTGGAAACACTCTCAAAATTAATTACCTGTGAATGTGAAGCAGGGTAAGGATGAAGAGAGAAGAATGCACCTTGGTTTTGCCTCTTCATGATAAAGGAGTTGGGCAACACTCCTATTTCAGATGGTCCTGGCTACTCAGGTGTAGGGCTTTGAGCTCTCTTCTGAGGAAAATGAGGATGTCAAAAGTCAGAAGTGGGATCCATCTGTCCTCCCACCTTTTCCTCCACCAACTATGCTTTTGCCTCTGTGTCCCAGCTCTTATATCACATTGGAGACATCATCCTTACATCAACCTACTTGTTTCGTATATTCCTTGATCAGCTCATTAACCTAATTATTGTCCCCCCGCTTTGCATTCCTCATTGCTTTTGATTTTCTGTTTCCTCAGTGAGAAAGGTGGAAAGACAGCTCTGGGAAGAGAAGTTTTGCCCAGACAGTGGGGACATCCTGTTAAGTAGTGGCTCCTCTCCTCATGTGTGTAGGCAGCAGGTGAGATGGGGTTGGGCAATAAATGTTGGGGCATCTCTCATAAAGAAAGAAAAGCAGACAAATGGGAAGAGACATCTACCCTGGAAGCAGATAGTCACTACACCAGGAGAGGAAGCCAGAAAGAAAAATGCACAACTACCAGACAAGGTGTCAGATGTGAATGCTGCTGTGCCTTTCATTTTAGCAGTGTTGCCTCTGTGCTTTAAGCTGCAGCAGGTACTTATAACCTCTAAATCTGCTGCAAAGTGGGTCAGCTGGGTTAAAAAGCTTTTGAAACATTGCTCAAAGACCACAGGTTCTTCAAAACACACAGAAAATTCTAAGCAGACAGTGGCATTAGCTCTTGGAATGAGCTCTTTTCATTTTTAAAAAGAGTGATGGTCTGTAAATGCAGATAGATTTTTTTTTTTTCTACTGAAGAAGCACAGTAAGTATAAGAACAGATGGGCAGAGTACCCTAGTTTGTTGGTAAGAGCCTGATTCAAGCAGAGCAAAAATAGGGTTCATTACAGACTCAGGAAGACTGGCAGTAAAATGCTACATAAAACCCTGCCCAATCACCCCAGGGAAGAAAACTTGGCAGAAACTTTGTTCTCCTTTTATACAGTGTTTGTAGCGACTCTAGACACCCTATGAGAGAGCCATGTGGTGAATTCCAAGTGGATGACGTAAAGCATGTGGCTCTGGGGTGAAACCCATTTGTCAGGAGCACTGATTATGCAGTCATCTGCATTGCCTGCTGGGTCCTCTTGCTCCAGATGCTAACTTTCCTAAGATATTCAGAAAAATGAAAATCAGTCTGTTGCAAAAATATTGTCTTAAAATGTGGAATTTTCTTCCAGGCTTTTTGTCATACACTGACTGCAAGCCCAGTACAAACAATAATACATAGCTCTACAGGCTGCACTTAGTGTCCAAAACCCACTCAAAACAGGAGCTTTATACCTGTACAAAGAGAAATTTTCAATGGGAAATGATAATACCAAGTACCCTACCGAGGCAAAATATCAGTGATGCATTTTCACTATTGCAACAAAGCAGTAACAACAACTTACTATGTCTCAAAATGGCATGTTATTCCTTAAGAAAAACACAAAAATGTGGAACCATTTAGCAATTTCAATTCTTGGTACTTTACACTTTAGCTGTAAGATTTGTCTAAAAGATTACCTGGCATCTCACTCTCAGTGGAGGTCACTACCCCATGTCCCAGGCAGATGTCTCATGGACTAGATGACCAGGGCTTATGACTGTGACTATCCGTGATGTTCTAGGTGCAACAGGACTCCAAAGACACTGAGATGCCTTTAGTGACAACTGGTGCCTCAAAACAATCATGTACCTGCAAATGGCCTGGAAATTACATGGAAGCAAAACCTTCACTTTTTGTGTGCTGTCAGAAAACCACACACTTCTTCTATTATTATAGTCACACCTTTTAAATGGTGTTATGATAGTCTCTTGATTTATACAGGATAAGCATATGATAGCACCTTTTACATGGGATATTGTTACAATCTTCTTGCAGAAGTCATTATTCATCTCTTTTTCCTGTCAGCTCTTGATCTGGAGCCAGCAACATTAGTGGAGCATGAACCCTAGGTGCCATGGAGGACTGCAGCCTTTTTCACTGATAAAGGGAAATAATTTCATTCCATCCTTTCGGAGCAAGTTTGTAACTGGGAGAGAATTTGAAGAAGAAGAAAGGGGCTTTGTGAAAAAAATATAGAGGTGAAACCAGCTAGAAGTATGCTATATTAGCAAGATATAAACAAGCAGAAAACATATTTTATCTATGGTATTTCCCTTCTGTCTACCACATCCAGGATTGTCTCTCTTTCCTCATTGGTTCCTTTCTGGCCTTCTTCAACCAGTCTGTGAATTGTGCTGTAATGTTGTTTGCTACTGCTGAAAGAGTAGAGTTGGGAAGCGTCTTCCCATGCCTGAAAAGCTGGCAGGGGAATCGTTTCCGGTTCCTTGTTCTCAAAAAAGCACTTCAGGTTTCTGTCGCTCAGCTTGGTGGCATACAGCTGGAAAATCTGCTCCAGTTGCTCCTTCTCCTTCTCCACATACACCCTCCAGAACTTCAGCTGGAGGTGACTGACTTTCGACTGGCAGCTGGCACAGCAAGTGATTAGCAGGGAGAGAAGAGCTGTGGTAACTATCACACACCAACCTAAAATCTGGGAAATGAAAAGAGATGAACTTCAGGTTAAAAAGGCTCAGGTGAAAATGCTACTTGAATCAAGAGTGTCTGACAGAGCAACCAGAGTGTGTACAGAGGGCCTGCTGCTCCTCTTGGGACCCCGCTCTGGGCATCTCATCCCAGTTTGCATTTGGTGCCTGGCATTAATGTTAGTGGGGCTTCCATAATGGGACCAAAGGGAAGCAGGAGACGTCAGGACTGAGGCTTGTCAGTAGGGCTATCTTGATGTCTCTTTCTCAGGAACACAAAAGCTGGCTGATTTTTACAGTGGAAGGTAAAACTCTCAAGAAGGGTTGGCTTATACTAAAGTCTGGCTGCCTCCCCCTTCTGTTTTATAACAAAAGGAACTTGGATGACAACAACTGAGGAGACATGTCCAGCATAATGGCAGTTCCTGTTCAGGGACAGATGATCTTAAATCAGACTTTAACTACGTGACTGTATGAAGAAAAAGCTAAGAGAAGTCTAAATGATAAATCAAATAATATTATGGTTAAATAGTGCTATACAGAAAACAAAGTAAACCTGAAAGCAGGAGTAATTTAGAGAGGATATTGGTGAGAGTTTATTGAAAAACTATAGCCATCTAGCATGCAGTGTATTGGAATTGTTCACTGAATTCTGTCACACCAAGGGAAAATAAAATATCACAATCACTAGGTAGTAAATGGTTTTCTATCTCTTTAAAGTATTAAATAAAGTTGCTGAGCAAAAATTAGGATTGACATAAGTCTGAATTGTGACAAATTAAAAAAGCAAAATGAGTAACTTTTGTCCCAGAAAAATCAATGTTTAAAACTGTGATAATTTTTAGATATCTTGTTTTCAGACTTCATTTTAATTAAAAAAAACCCAACCGAACAACAACTGTAACTGTTTAATCATTAATTACTTAACAAGACTATACAAGATAGTCTGAAATTTAAAAAGCTTTCCCCAAATTCCTTTACCAGGAGGTTCATTGAAATCTGAGCTATTCTTGTGAACATTGTTTCACTTTGCTGAATCAACCCTTTGTAATGAAAAATAACTTTTATGCCAAAACTAGTTTAAAATTATCTTCTTGCCCAATCCTATGAGAATACTCAGAGAAGAGGGCATGAGAAAGAAGAAATAGCAAGTGCATTGGCAGGTCTCTGTTGGCATTGGAATAGAGCCCAGTTCATCCTCAGAGCGATTAGAAATAACTGCTGTATTTTCAGAGAACTTTGTTTTTCCTGAAATATATTTTTGGTAGCAACTTCGAAGTTTGAAAAAATTCCATTGGGAACTTATTAAAGGAAAGAACTACTTCCAGGATTAGAGCAAGGGCAGTGGGTAGAAAAAGTGCTTGAAATTGTTATTGTGGGATATTCTGCTCTAAGGGGAGCAGAGATGTGAACACAGTTTTTTCATGCCCAGTGCCATTGGCCTCGCCAGTAGCCTTACCCACCTACTCTACTTCAATGTGTAACATTAGCAAAACCAAAACAAAAAACAAACAAACAAACAAACCCACCCGAACTTGTTTTTAGACAGTAGAACAAATTTCAGTGTGGAACAAATCTTTTAGGTTTCAGAGACCCAAATAAACTGGAGCTGATTTCCCACACTTTAATGGTGATGAAACTTCTCTCATGTGGACTCTTGCACTGATGTTAAAAACTGCAAATAAATATCTATATTTAGCTGGGGGAATATAGATAGTTTCCTCAGAGAAATATGTGAAACAGAGAAGCTCAACAAACAATTATTTTTACTGGTATGGAAGAATAGCTTCACCTTCTTTTATTTTTCCAGTCACTTTGGCCTGACTGATTCCTATGGGTATCTGAGAAACTGATCTTTTTTGCATCTTTGAGAATGAACCCGTGTATTCTCACGCTACAAGCTGAGTCACTGTTCTTCCTCTGTTTCCTTTACATACAGCTTAAAGTCTTAAGCGCTGTTTGTTACTTCCTTCTGAAACTCTAAAATAAATTTCTTTGTGTGCAGTGCAGGATTTGCCTGCATTCCTCTCCTGTCTGCATGAGGACTTAAAAATAAAACTGTCTCTAGCAGAGGAAGTGGTTCCATATGGATACAATTGTCTGACAAAAACTTTCTGGCTCCACAGAGTGTTTTTCCTTCCTGCTGAGAATCATCTTTCCATCGTTTTCTGTAGCCTTTTTTTTTTCCTTTGTTTTGATTTTTTGCCTCTGAATTTATTTACATTACAAGTGAGCAGAACTGCATCACACAAATACAGTAAAAAGTAATATCATCTCAGCTTTGCACATTCTGCTTGTTTTATTTTAGTGTTTCTTCCTTTCTTCAAGCAGGACAAAAACACACTCTCATCTGGCATCATGAACATAAAGAATGCAAACAGAAACATCTTATGTAAGCCATTACAAATCTGTCAAAAATCTTATTTTTCAGTACTTTCTACTGTTAGTGACCCAAGATTTCATTACAGTATCATGATGGTATAAAATAGGAGAGTGTGGTATGGATTTTTTTATAGGCCAGACCCCTTTAGTGGGGTGACATTTGTTAATTCAGCCTTCTAAACAATCCAGTAGTTTTGTCTCTCTAGAGTAATCTTCATTCAGGAAGAAAGCTTTACGTTATCCAGTCTTATTGATCCTGCCATCTGCGGGACCCCGCACAGCTCGGACTAAAAGGTGGATTGACTGGATTTTGTAAGGCTGCATCGTGCCAAAACTTTGTTTGTGTGAAACCAGCGGCTTTAGCTTAGCATCTGACATCAGGATCTTCTACAGATAAATCACAGCAGCAGAACAAACTGCATAATGTCCTTGATTTTTCTTACCTGGGACTGTGCCTGAAGAGTTTGTTTCAGTTCGTCACTCTCTGAAGAGGGCATGGAGCTTTTGTCACAGGCTACCTTGTGTAGCTCTTCAAAGCACTTTGCAGATTTGCTGTGGCAAACTGCATGTAAGTAGGCAGGATTTTTCAAGCCACTCATGGCACACTGATAAAAAGACCCATTGAGCAAAGCCACAGAAAGCCACATCACTGGGGCTACCAGAGCATTTAGAGTGATTTGTCCAAAGACGTAGAAGAAACGGCAGATATTCCCTCTGGGGAATATTTTTCTGGGATTCACCCAGCAGCCTGTAAATAGTTTCCAGGTATTGCTGTTCAGGAAATATCCAATAACTAGCAAAACAAAAGCTGGGGAGAAGAGAAATACCAAACCATACCTGAAGTTTTCATTGCTGCAGGGGCATCTGAAAGCAACAAAAGAAAACACACGTTCCCCTCCCATTGTCAGCAGTGCCATAAAACTGTAACCTATAGCGGTTTTCTGGTTCATGATGAATTTCAGGATTGTTTGGAAACCATCCATGTTTGATACGACAGAAGTAAAAGCTGAGACACGTTTCTCTTCAGCCGTAGCAGTCTGTCGTGGTGTAGCAGGGGAGAGCTCTCCAGAGGAAGAACAGCCTGCTGCTGGCCTGCCTGCCTGCCTGCGTGCTGTCTAGATAACACCGTGATGTCACTGTCTGGAGAAACACGCTCACAGGGGCCCCTCCACCAGCAGAGCAGATGTTGCACATTTACAGTAACATTCACCCCTAGCGGACGGAAAGCAGGCAGTGTGCTCAGTATCATCAAATAAGCTTGCAGTCTTGGCGGTCTCGTTCTTGGTGAATTGTTCTGGGTTGCTGGGGTTTTTTTGTGACTGCAGATGGAGATTGGAGTAAAAGCGCAGACTCACCAGTTGCTGGAGTTCTTGAGCTATGGTTATCTAAGTTGCAGGCAATGTACTGAAGGACCTTATATAGATGCTAATGGCCCCAGGGGAGTGTAACACAACTGAATGCAGATGAGAGATAACAGTGAAACCACGTTGTATGGGGTTGTAAATGTAGGAAGATCAAAGACAGAATAAGCAGCCTTTTGATGTACTTCCATGGAGTACCACATATGTGATGGTGCAGAACCCTCCCTACCCTGCACTGGGCCTCACACTGGGCCAACACCAGCCAACATTGTCTTTGCTTTAGTTACAAGGGCAGTGGGCCCAACATTGTTCTTTCTTCAATGGCAAGTGCAGTAGGCTGAGACAGTCTGGTACTTTCTGACCTTGCCTACTGGAGCACTGAGTTGAAACAATTGGTTACCTTCATGTCCTGGTGCAAATGCAGGGAGTTAGGACAATTAGGCAGTCCCTAACTGCACCTGGAACTCCTGTTTCCTGGGAAAAGTATTTGAAACGCCTCCTGCTTGGATCACAAGCTCACTCTGAAAGTTGCCTGACTTGAATTGTGGCCATAATGGAAAAATACTGACCAAAGTCAATAATCTTGTCACCTTATCATCATAAAATGAGGCCCTTTGCAGCTCTCTGGGATTGCAGTAGACTGCTACCCTGTATCTAAAGAAGGACGTTGGTCTACTCAATGGAAAAGGGTGAGTAGCTCACTGCTTCCCATTTTGTGGCAAAAAGATTGAATTACAGTAATTACTATAATTAAATCTTGTCAAGATCAATCAAAAGCGTATTTCACTGCAACTTCTTTTTGTGCAATTCAGACATCATTATGGACCAAACTTTAATCACATCTTAAAATGGGTTAACCTCTGTATCTGTGTGTGGGTGTTTATATGTAAGCAATTTAGTTTAGAAACTTAGTTTAATCTTTAATTGAACCACTGTGTAGGATTCTAACAAATTGTTGATTATTGATTAATTAAGAGTTGCTGTTAATTAAGTATTGCTAAGAAATCATATAACCTAATATCATTTTTTGTTATAATAGTGTCAATCAATCTCATATTGCCACTATTCCAAATCATACCAGACCCATTAATTATGTGTTAAAACACTACACTGAAATCCCTACACCTAAACCCTTTAGACATAAAGTGTTGACCAAGTCTGGGACTAGGAGTGGATCCAGCTACATCTAGACTCCTCTGAGAAGTTTAGAAAGCAGAGGGCTCCATTCTGAATCTCATGACTCAACACGAGGGCCTTCCTCATTCTTTTCCCTGATCCCTGTGCAAATCACTGCAACTCAAGCCTGATTCAGTCTCCTCTATTCCTGTGTAAATAATTTTTCTCCGATCTCTGTATAAATAACTCCAATCCAATTCCAACCCCTACTTGTTCCTTGCACATAGTGAGTAATAAAATGAACATTGCTATCAAACTCTGTTAAGTCGCTCTTCTAAAAATCTTAATTAAAATCACCTTCCCCTAATATCTTTGTTGATGATTCTTGGAGCAACATTAAGACCTTACACTCCTGTCTGTGACAAAATAGCTCCAGTTTTATGTCTCTGGCTCAAGCTGATCACAGAAAAGATAAATCTAGCTTGATATCCAGCCTGTTTTGCTCTTCCCCCATTTTCCTGAGATAAGCTGGTCTACAGATGCTGAAGTTTGCCCTCTGGTTGAAGATTGAAGTGGCAGGGTCTCATCCTTTTGCAGGTTGCTTTCAAGATGTACCTTGGGATTACTCCTAGTGTGAGCTGCAGTAGTGCCACAGGAAATGAATTCTCCTTAATCCTGGACAAAAACCCACTGGTGGACTTCGTGGAGGAGCTGCCAGCAGAACGAGCATCACTTTGCTACTGTAACCTCCTCTGTGGGGTGATTCGAGGTGCCTTGGAAATGGTAAGGGAGTGCACATCTGTTTTCTCTGTTCCTTGTTAATATACAGAGGCACAAGAAAGCAAATACACTTGCTCATGTAAATGAAGGAAATTTAGTAGTGTTTAATATCTCTCTCAAATTAAATGTCTATATATAAATAAAAGAGGGCCAGACTGGTCCTGGATGCTGACGTAGAGAAGCACACAGGTTGGCTCGCCTCCACACTGTTCCTGCTTGGTTCTTTAGTGCCTGTCTCAGGTGCAAAATCCAGGTGGGACTGGGAAGCCAGCTAACATGTAATGCAGAGAGACAGAGGTGCGTGCTGGACTCCTCTGCTGCTCCATGAGCCTGTCATACTTTGCTGCATAGCTGTAATCAGTAATTCTTTCCACATGCATGAAGATTAATGATATTCTGAGTTTACCACAACACTTGCTGAAAGGGAGAACAAAGTTTGGATAAGTATAATGTTAAAGCCAAAGCATCACAAGTGTAACAGATGGCATTCTAAATTTTGTTCTGGAATTTAATTTTAGAAAAGAATACAAATACACTGAGTTGTAGACCTCCTGTGGCATTTTCTGGAAGATAACTTTTGGGCTGCTTTCTGTTTTGGTCAGTATCTAATTTGTTGGGATTTTTTTTTCAAGAAAACAAAAGCTGTGCAAGTATTATGTATGTACGTCTGTCTCAGAATTGTGGTGTGTAATATAGAGTAATTAACAAAAATATTATAGTATGTGAATTGAAATTTCATGATCACAAAATCATCAAGTACACAATTTAAGTTGTCAGAAGAAAGCAAAGCACTGGAACAAAGGGTAAGGTATTATACAAATTCCAGTCTATGTAAACTTCCTTTTTACTAGCTTAGCTGGGAAAGATACTTTAAAAGAATCTAGTGCTGTTTCTTATGAAACATGAGAAAGGGTGTCCCCTTGTGGAAAGAAGGAAAGAAAAAGTTCATTATACTGGAGGAGAGGGAAAAAAAAAAAAGACATTTCTTTGTTTAACTAATAAGACCTGATTCTTTCTAGGTTCACTTAGCAGCAGAAGTTACCTTCCTCCAGGACAGACTGAAGGGTGATGCTGTGACAGAAATAGGAATTACATTTTTAAGGAAGGCTGAAGACAGAAAGCACAAAAGAAATAAATGAAAGAAATATTGGGAGGAACCGTTGCTGAGGGATATTTTTAATCTTTTGTTTCTGAAGAAAACATGCAGGAAAACATGGCTTCCCTGAGCCAGCTGCTCCAGTCATACATGTGAAAGGTGAAGAGAGCTGGGCAGCAAACAGGATCAGTATAGCAGTGGGAGAGAAATGTTAATCTCTAGGACACAGATATCAACATAAAATAAGAAAATGGCCTGCTCTTCCTCCTCACATAACCGTGCTTTTGATCTCAATGGAAGTTTTATCTCAGTATTTAGTGCATGCTGGGTACAATATATTCATTTAGGCACTGCCTGTTTTCAGCTGAGTATGACCAACCACTATTTCTACTTTTGTTTGTTGGTAATGGTTCAAAGTATGGTTGCTAAGAGATGCTTTATTTCCCTGGCTAGGAAAGCTGTTTCATGGTTAGGAAGAATTAATTAATTTGCTGTGGCTGCTGTATCCAGTGTCTCCCTGACAGGTGCCTGTTTTGATGCACGATGGTTTGTCATTCACTGTCCTCCATGCAGGTCATCCTGCTCCCTTTGAAACCAGAGAGGGATGCAGGATCACTGAGGGCAGCAGCTGGTTCCCTATGTCTCTTTCAGGCCCCAGGTGCAGTTTTGCTGGCACACCTCTTTAGCCTTATGTGTTTGTCAGGCTGCAGCACTCTAAAAACTGCAGCAATGCTTGTGTTGCTTCAAGATATGGGCCTTTTCATGTCAGTCTTCTCTTCTAGAGCACTGATCTTATGACCACGCTGAACAAAGCATAGTGTATTTAGTGTTTAGTCACTGTGGATCTGTACTTCACCTAAGGAAACTTGAATAAAAATTCAGAGATTTCCACACAACTGGTTTGCTGGTCATTGTGTCTGTTTTTACCTGACCTTTGTAACTGGCCATTGGACATCTTCCACTTGGCAGCAGACTTCTGGTACCACAATGTGACTGAGAAGTACAGAAAAAGCAGCCTTGTGGAAACCCGATTTATATGAAAGGTTTAACGTTGTGTAACACAAGATATATGGGTACGAGTGGGACAAAAACCCAGGTTCCAAATCCTAGCACAGTACCCTACCAACAAAACCAGCTCACCCTCTTCTCACCAGTGCACTCCTTTTAAACTGAAGTACAAATCCTCAGTTCATTGAAGCCCAGGGTTTACTCTGATTTTAACCCTGAGATTTGATACCTTCATCCGCTACCTTTCCCTTAGTCCATTTACCTCTTGGTTCTGCTAAGTGAGGGAAACTTCTTACCTTGGGAACAGCAGGATTCACTCCCACCAGAGCTGTATAATCCTCATTATAATCTTGCTCTCTTCATTTGTCTTAACAGTGATGTACACTGGTGGTGTGGTGTAAGTGTAATGGAGCTTTTTCACTGATATTACATAAAGCTGCAGAGCACATAGGGCTAAAATAGCTGGAATCTTTTTGCTCATCTATTCAAACTGGTAAGTCCTTCTGATGGACTGCTATGCTATGCACAAGTAGCTCCAAAATGCTAATAACTTCCTAGATGTTAAAAGATACAGTCCCTGCCTTCAGAAACTAATTGATTGAAAGTAAATGTTTTATTGTAGAGTTTGCTCTAAGCTCCTCTAAAAGCTATAAAGTCAAGTGAAAGTTAATAAACTAAGCTGAATTTCTGATAAAAATTTCCATTCCTTTTTGTCTTTTTGATACTGTCAGGTATGAAGGTTTGATATTGTCACTCCAGCTGCCATATGCCCTTAGGGTGTTTGGTAAGAATTTAATGCAGTACATGCTGACATCTTTGGGGATGCTTATTATTTCACATATGAGACTCTTAATGAAGGACAACACATCGGAACTCCTGCCATGGCAGACATATTTATTGAAATGTACTTAAGCAAAAGTAATAAAGTGTATTTTAAAACAAATCTGCTGAGGGTTACACCTATCAGCTTTTTCATACAGCTTGCTTAGATTTCAATAAGAGCACAGAATAAGGCTCTCAATACATGAGGTTAAAGGCCTGCTGGTGTTACAAAGGTTTTGTTTCATTAAAAGCCTGATTAACTTGTGTTTGCTTCATCCACAAATGCTAAAACAGGCGGAATCAGATCTCCTTGCTCAAACTGGATGTTCTTGCCTCTGTTTGTGTTAACGTACTTGTGTATCATGCTGTAATACTGCTCTTGTGGATTGAACGTGTACAAGAATGAAATCTTCTGCCAGTCTTCATTGCTGGGAGTCTGAAATGGTGCTGGCTCTGTGGCTTCAAAAAAACACTTCATATTCATTTCTGCTAGCTTAGCTGCATGCTCTTTAGCCTTGATGTCAAAGACCTCCAGTTCCTTTTTTGTGTAAATTTTCCAGAACTTGAGCTGCAGATAGCTAACCGGGGAGCAACAGCGGGTGCAACATTTTGCAATCAGTACCACAGTCGTGATGCTGGCTATCAGGAACCACCCTATGAGCTTAGAAAAGAGAGAGATGGATTAATGGTGTTTTGCATGGTCACATGTAGGAGCTTTACACTGTAAGAGAAGAAACCCTGGAATGCCTGAAATAGTCTGCTTGCTGCAGAAGGACAGGTTCCCATGCACACAGTTCAGTCAGCCTTACAGAGCTTCTGCACCCCTGAGCTGATCTTCTTGGATTGAGGATAAATACCAAGAAAAGATAAGGTGATGTTCTTTCCTCTTTCCAGTTATATACACCTTTCGTTAAACACAAGGTACTGGTCAGCAGTTTCTGCAGCTATGGTCAGATTTACAGTACAGAGGGTGCACACTCATCCTGTCCACGTCTGGTGCTGTGAATTAGACCTGCTGACTCTGTTTTATTTGCTCTTGGAAGGTACCTCCTCTCTCTGATGTCTGAGCCTGCAAAAAATAGCCAGTCACTACAACATACAGAAAAAATTGTTCTGTATGTTTTGTAGGCAGGACATGGACTTGACAACTGAATATGGGAATTCATTCTTGTTTTACAAATTATTTAAACATTCCTAGAGAAGTCTCAGAGGCCTCATCTACAGTGGATGTCCCTCCAGTACCCAGTGGTACTGAGCTGGAAACTCCAGGCAGAGATCTCAGTATCCCCTTTCACCTCAGGCTGATTTATTTATTTTTTTTTTCAAGTGAAAAACATTGAGTGTTAGCAAATATTTGTTTTATTTTTGGTTTGTGTCATTTTTGGTTCTTAACTTAGTTGACAGTAGAGATGTTAAAATATATTAAAATTATGGTCATTGCTTTCACTCTTTTTCTGGTTTTGTTATATTTGTTTGTTTGGTTTAGATTTCATTGTAATATCAGTAAGTCAGATTTCCTTGATTTTGCTCCTTTCTTATCCTGTCTGAATTCAATGGTATGGAGTTTGCCTCTTTTCAGCCTTTTTCTAGGAGGAGAAGCATATTAAATATTTAACAAGCAGAAACACTTTTTTTGTTTGTTTTTTCATGAGCACTTGTACTAAACAGTAACTGATAAAAAGCCAAGTAATTACAATCTCTTATAAATTTATCTCCATTTGCCAGTCTTAATGCTTTCCTGAGAAAAAGTGATACAACCTAATTTTTCTACTGGAGTTAAGATGCTGACCAAACAAAACTGGTAACAAAACTGGAGTGCTGCCAAAATTTGAGGGCTTCACTTCAAACAAAAACATCCATTCACAAGTGCAATTTTTTGAATCATGCAGTTTGCCTTCAGCACAAGGACACTTTAACAAGACAGATACATATTTTAACTATTCTTCTAGAATACAAGAGTGAAATTATTAATAGGTTCAAGGGTTGAGATTTGTGATGAAATTTGTCCTTATTTGTTTCATTTGCCTTTTCTCTGCTGCAAGGAGACAACAGATTCCTTTCTATTTGAGATCTCAGCTTCCCCTCAGCTAGTGCATGCTTATAGAAGTTGAAGTATTTACAGGGCTAGAAGTAGAAAAACAGAACTTGCACAATGCCTAAGTGAAACGAGAAGAAAACTTGCTGTGGCAAGTCTTGGTCTCCAGACTGGTTCCCTGCTGTCTCATGGAGTTAAGGATGGCAAACTAGACCACATATGTATGCGAAGCAAAACAAATTTTTTAAAAATTAAAATTGGTAAAGGTGTGATTAGGCTAAAGGACATTTAATCAGAACATCTGTTACATGGTATAAATGCTACTGCTACTATTCAGTATAACTATTATTTACTAAATCAAAAGTTCAAAGCTAGCTTGATGAGCAATTATTTATACAGATTAATGTTACTCACTCATGTTGATGTAGCTCTTTCACTCAGCCTTGAGGAGTAATCTTGAGGGATGTTCCCACTCAAGGGAGGAATCCCACACAATCCTATGGGGAGGGAGGCAATAATCTCTCCCGCTCAAGGATGGGACAAGGCTTTAATAGCATAAAGTGATTGGCTGCCAGTCATTTGTTGCTAAGCCAAACCTTCTAGCTCAACAAAACACTATTTAGCTTTACCATTCTTGTGTTCCTTTTGGGACCAACTGGTTTCACCTCCTGCCCTGTGATATTTATTCTTGGCGTTGCTGAATCAGGCTAATCTCTAGTGTTTTTCAACACTAAGGACAGCAGGACCTCCCATCATGCCTGGTACATTTCCATCAGAAACCTCATACAAGGAGGGCAAGGTTCTCATTTCACCTCTACCTAGACAGTGTCCTGCTACAGCTGCCCAGCTTTGAAAGAGGTTTCATAAGTGGCAGTCCCAAACAACTGGCATGCAAAACCAGAAAACAGCAAAAATATATCCACTTACTACTGCCCTCTTAGTGTTTTTTTATTTTTTTGCTAATCTTGTACTTTTGGTAATGATATAGTGTGTGAGAGAAGGACTGTTTACAGTCCTCAGCACCATACACTGAGCAGTCAGGCTTGAAGCCATAGAGTAAAGAGCTGCGAGGCTTTACCTGGGACTGTGCCTGGAGGCTGAGGTGTTCATCTGTTAGGTCCTTCAATAATGTCTTGTCACAGGGTACTTTGACCAGCAGATTTTTGCAGTCTGGTTCTTTACCTTCACACATGAATCTCTGTACCAGGCTGTTCCCGCTGGCCGCACACTCGTAGAAGCTGGCGCTGAGCAGGGCCACCGCGATCCAGGTGCAAGGGGCCACCAGAGCCCTGGCTGTCACCGGCCCTAGCACACAGCAGCAGCGCATGCAGGTGCCCTGGAGGCTGGAGCTGCAGTCCTTCGCTGAAGGGCAGCTGCCAGTCAGCAGGCGCCATGTCCTGGCGTTCACCATGTAGCCAAGCAGAAAGAGGATTAAGGCAGGCACTAGGATGAACACGGAGCCATACAGCACGTTACCAGAGTTGCAGGGACACTTGAACACCGCAGAGGAGAAGATCTGCTCGCTGGCAGCTGTCAGCAGGGACACAAGGCTGTAACCTAGAACAGTCTGGTGGCGGATGCAGAAATCTAGCACTCCACGTAACTTATCCATTTTCTGCCTCCTCTTATTTCAAGGAATCTCAGTCAGAAAAGCAGAATGGAAGGACAAGTGTTCTGAAGCTGTTACAGCCTAGAACTTATTGGCCTACAGCAGAACTTTCGCTTTCTGTTGTTCGTGGTGATTCAGTGAGGCACAAAAGCAGTTCTCATCAGAGGGAACGGAAAAGCACAGGCTCACTGCCAAGTGTTAAGGTCGACTGCAGACCACTGTGGAAACCCACATTAGTAATCAAGATCAAAACAGGAAAGATCTATCTTTTATTTTATTTTATTTTTTTCAATTAAAACAGTATGTATTTGCCCCTACATGCTTAGCATGGCTTAAACCTCCTCATCTTTTTAATGAAGCTTTTGAATGAGGCAAGAGATTCAAAGTGTGAATAAAATGTGAGAAAATCACACAGAACTGTGTACATTTTTTTTTAATCCTGCCTTATTACTAGCAATACAATATGGCTTGTCCACTTATGTAAGAAAATTCAACTATAAGGTTAATTTTTCAAGCTAAGACTTTTTAAGTAGTTAGAGCAAATTAGCCAGTGCATGCCCTGAGGGAGCTCAGGTAGGCTCCTAGCTAGGGTTTGTCTTGGCTAAATCTAGATTAGGTGAATTGTCCCTCAGAATTAAGGAAGTTGAATCTTTGTTGCTTGCTCATAGCCATGCAGCTGAAGCTCTCTGAGGTGATGTAGGCAGTGAACAGTGCAGTAGTTTGCTGTCATCATGTGCTTGGTGACACCAGATGTGCAGCCATCAGGGTACTGGTGGTTGCTGTCATCTTCTCTGCCACAACCACTTGTCCTTTGCATCGGCAATATTAATTAAGCATAATTAGATTCTGAATGCTGTGATTTATACTGCACTGACTCTTCCTGGGCATATCACATCACAGAGGTTAACCACAAAGCCAGAACTTCACCCTTGGCTCAGGGAAACATTGCCTGCAGCTGGGCCAGACTGATTCTGGTATTGGCTATCTCAGGTGAGACAGCAAGGCTCGATGCTGCTGGTATCACTCTATGCCCTATCCACAGCTGCAGGAGCCAAGCACAGTGGAAATTCAATGGCTTTTTAAAACCCTGTGAGAATTTAAGATGCTTTCGATGAACCTTGGGGGTCATTTAAACCTTCCAAAGGGTCCACACAACTCTTTCAGCAGCTGAGTAGATGGTACAGGGGCATCAGAGCAGACAGTGCTCTGCAGGTAGACACTGGGCTTGCACCAGACAAGCCAGGCTCAGCACTGAGCTGCCACTGCAGGGGGAAACATGTCACAGCTGCAACACTTGCCTTGGTCGGGAGGAGACTTTGCTTTGTTAATCTTGCAGAAGTAACATATAAAGACATAACAGCAAAAAGGATGTAAAACTATCAAGAGTGTCTCAAACTGAAGGCCAAGTCAGGTCACCTCTTGGTTATAGTGGATAGCTGAGGAGGAGCACAGGGACACGGTTGGCAAGCTCAGGAGTGCGCCCACACCCTCTGACTCTGCATTTCAGGGATTTCCACTGCATCTAACATTGTTGAGTCAAGTCTTCTGTAAATTTGTCTGAAACCAGATGTCACTACGTTGGAGAAAAGTCTTGGCAGATGTCAGGATGGCACAAATAACAGAAGCAAAGTGAAATCATGGCACTTCATTACAGAGACAGGGACAAGGGCTGCCTCTGAGAACCACTGGTTTAACAATCATAGAATCACAGAAGTGTTTTGATTGGACCTTTAAGATTACCAAGTCTAACCAGTAACACAGCACTGCCAAGTCCACCACTGAATCACATCCCTAAGTGCCACATTTACATGTCTTCTAAATGCCTCCAGGGATGGCAACTCCAACACTTCCCTGGACAGCCTGCTCAGTGCCTGCCAACTCTTTCAGTAAAGAAATTCTTACTAATATCCAATCTAAACCTTCCCTAGTGCTATTTGAGGCCATTTCCGCTTGTTACTTGGGAGAAGAACCCAACACCCACCTCACTACAGCCTCTTTTCAGGAAGCTGTAGAGGGCAATAAGGTCTCCCCTCAGGCTCCTTTTCTCCAGACTAAACAACCCCAGTTCCCTCAGCTGCTCCTTATACAACTTGCTCTCCAGACCCTTCACGAGCTTTGTTGCTATTCTGTGGACACACTCTAGCACTTCAGTGTCCTTATAGCAAGGGGCCCAAAACTGAACACAGGATTTGAGGTGCCTCATCAGTACTGAGTACAGTGTGACAATCACTCCCTTAATGCTGTGACAAGGGGACCTAACACCAGCAGCTGCTCTCTGGAGCAGATCATGACCACACCAGGCAAGAACAGCCAAGAAACTTCTGTCCTTTGCTTTTTGAGCCTAATTTTAGCAACATTTCCTTCATCTGCAATAAAGCACAGGTTCTGCAACAAGCTTCCCAGAAATGGGGAGGGGAGATCTTTGTGTTAAAAGAGTAATCCTCCCCTCCAAGCAAACACGTTTCTTTCCCATAAACACTGGGAGAGAAAGGAAAGACTGCCCTCGCTGGAAGGCGGGAAGAGGAGCTGTGCCAAGAATCCAGGGGACGCAGCCCTGGCCTGGCCAGCTCTGCCTGCAGCCTGCCCGGGGACGCGTGGGGGCTGGCGAGGGTCCCGGGGTGGGGCTGGCGAGGGTCTCAGGGAACCAGGGGAAGGTCTGGTAGGGGTCCCAGCATGGGAAGCTGGGAAGCACAAAGCACTGCAGCCTGGCTAGTCAGGGTCCTTATCCTCACCTCAGAGCATCGGTCTCCCAGGGAGGCTCCTTCTTGCCCTCTAAATTAGCACCTGTGTTGCTGCAACAGCTGTAAAGCATTAACTGGGGAGTGTTCAGAAAAACAGCTTTCTGTTCAAGAACCTGGAATTCCAATTCAACTGTTGATTTGCAGTCCGAGGGAGATGATTTACATTTGATTTCATTTACTTTCATTTGATTTCGTGCCATTTGAATGGGGTGAAAACAATGCCAGAATTTAAGACAGTAATTTTTATAATAAAATGATCAGTTTTTGTTATTTGAAACACGTTTTTCTTTTCAAATACACTTTATTAAAATGAAGGGGTCAGTTGAAAATAAATCGACTTGTTTAATATTGTATCACGTTTCTCCTTTGTGTTTTAATTTCTCTCCTTTCATTTACAGCTGAAAGGACCTCAAACATTTTTGAGATGGAAAGAGCTGTAGTCCAGCTCTGTGACTGTAGCAAAGGAGTAACACTGGTCTTAAATACAGCATGTGAGTGTGTGTAGCTTTGCCAGTACATACTAAGTAGGCCTTGTTTTAGTTATGATAGTAAGTCCTTACAGTAGGTTGTGGGTTTTTTGTTTTGTTTAGTTTCATTTTTTTCTGGGGTATTGTTCTGAATAGCAAAAGACTGGTTTTATTTTTCTATAAATTATTCTCTTTCTAGCTGCTTCAACTAACGCCCATCCGGTTCCAAATTCCTGTCATTAACCTCATCAAGCTCAACTTAAGCATTCTTAATCTTAAGTCTTGTACATCCACAGGTGCAATGGAGCATTGCAAAAGAGCACCTCAGCACTGGTTTTCTTTTTATTAGAACTAGACTTGCAGAATGAAAGAGCTGTAAGCTGCATTTCTCAGTCCCCCATTCAGAAAGATGTACGGAAATGTCTTTATTCTAGGAAAATGTTTGTAATGCCTTATATCTTGTTCCAGATCAAATTAATGCTTAACTAGTGGGGATCTTGCTCATGAGAAGACCTTGCACCTACCCTCCAGGTGGACTGACATCCCCTGGAGGCCCATTACCTGAGTTTGTGAAACTGAGGAGGTTATTCTGACTTCATGGTTGAACCAGTCGTCTTACATGTTTGTGAAGTGTCACACAGCTCAGTGTCACCACATAAATCATTAATAGTACTAATACCTAGCAGAGCAGCAGCCTGAGAAGTAGCACTGTGCCTGGGCATGTACAGCTTAGAAGCATTTGTGTACATTATACTGCTATTTTAAGGCATTACATTTATTAGCTGTTTTTGGCTGAAAATGAGTTTTAGTGGGTAGGAAGGAACCAGGTTTGTAGAAGCAAGTGTAGCTCTGAAGGAGGCTCTGACGGGTAAGCTCTGGCACAGTCACTGAAGCCACTGCACTAATGTTCTCTTGCTATTATTTACTGCTGCTCTTTTAATACCACAGGTCCACTACAGGTCTGATTTCTGGGTGGGAAGGGTACTGTAACCAAGCACACGTGTTCTACAGGAATGAGCAGTGTGAGGGCTTTCCATAATAACATACAATCTATATGTGCCACAAATAAGTCTGCATGATTCTTCAAGTGTTGGCTGTGGATTAAGTGAAAAATATTTGCTGGGTTTATAAGAAAATATTTTCCTAGGATTAGAAAAGTAAAAGTTGTCAGGTTTAATGATGAAATTAAGGAACCTTTGTGTGGCAGATTATAGAGTTAATTCATTTGTAATCAGGTAAATCACTCTGGGTAGTCAACTAGTCAGTTCTAAGCAAACAAAGCTCAGTCTTTGTCATTTACTATAGAAAATGAAATGCCATGAAATAAAGCGCATTAAACTCAAAATGTTCTATACTCTTACAAACTTTTTTATTCCATGTGTCCTTACATTCTTCAGTTTATGCCATCACATTTTGCTGTCTTGAACCTGCTGAATAGTTGAGATTTTATTCTGTTCCACTCCTTCTGTGTGTGTGGCATAATGCTATCTGACAATATGCTACAGAATAGGTTCTGTAGTTTTTAGTTCACTTAATCCTTCTTCCTCTTTTTAAACTTTAACTGATTAACCAGTTCTTAATTTTGTTGTAGTACGCTCCTTTCCCCCATCTCCAGCTTCACATCTTGGGCTACTCTCCTGCCTACATTTTGTTACTTAAAGATTTTTTTTCTAATGGGAGGCAAGAGCCAAGAATCTATCCCTTTCAAAACTGTCCAAATGCTGCTGTCTTAGTCAAGTTTGTAAGTTCACAGCCTTCCCTAGGCAAAATGAGGTGAGCAAGTTATGAATGAAAA